TGGTTGTTGAACGGGCAAGGAGGGGGGAGGGGTTGAGGGAGGTGAGGAGTTCGGTGAGGGTTGTTTAGGGGGTTTTTGGGGGAGTTGATGGGATGGGAATTTGATTTAAATATCGCGTAATTGTTTCTAGTAATGTTTGCTTTGTATATGTTGTTGGTTTTGTTATATAGATGCTTCTGTATTAGGATGTTTAAGTAATTAAGTCATTAGACATATCATGTGTGGGGTTTACGCGTGAAATAGCCCAAAAAGCTCACTTCCCTCAATTGAACAAGATAACTGAATCAACCAGACCAAGATCCATTTATTTTCTCTAAAAATTTGGTAAGAAATTCCATCTCATCAATCTAGTCAAGTATCAAAATCTCACGAAGCGACACCGGACGATAGAAATCGAGCTTCGTCTCAATATAAACGAAGACCCAATATATTATTCACTTTAGAACTAGCTTAACGCTCGACATGAAATCGGCATGAAATTCAAGCTAAAATCCCAAACACCCCTTTCATCGAAACATCCTTCTCATGAAATTATACCCCCTACGTCGGCAAAGCAAGGTACAGCAAAAAGCTAGAATACAATCTTTCTATATCAACACCTTCAACAAAGTCTCAACCTGTAGTCAAAGACAGATTCTTCTGCAATCTCCCTCGTGATGGCAACGTGCCACAGCACTTGCAGGAAATAGTTCAAATTGAACGCCAAATGAACCCCCCTTGAAAGTGAAACAATTCCCACAGATAACTCCAACACAAAGCTCCATTCTCAAAGTCTTTCATTACTACACAACCTGTCGCGATGAGAAAGTTGCTTAACCTCGAATTTGACTTTTTGTAATATCAGCTCAGTTCCTGCTGCTTAGACTGAACTTCTCAAGGTCCTCAACCAGTTTATCCATAAAGTCTTCTGCATCTGCAGGTGTATAATGCAAAGAAGACCGGGGAGTAGTCGAGTCAATATCCTGCTCTCTTGTTCCGGATGGGGTCTTACTTCTATGAGAAGCATTTCCAAGCGCAGCCGGCTTTTTGAAAAAGGGATTGGGTGCTGAATTGAAATAGATGTAAGTCGGTGTCGTGGCAGAAGTAGGCGGAGACGTAGAAAGCTCGCTTGCGTCACTTCTAATAGACAGTCAATATGGATGGCAATCGCAAAACATACAAAATGCTTACTTAAGGTCCGGTTCAGAACCAGCTGAAGAGCCAGTTTCATTTTCTTCAGTATCATAGAACAGGTCTTCAGTTTGGGTGTCCCGTGATTCCATTGACACGAACAAGTCTTCGGTCTGAGTGGCCCGTGATTCCATTGTCGCCTTATTCGAGACCTTTTCATGAAGTTCCATGTGCTTCCTCAAGCCACCAACTCTGTCAAACCAGGCCTCGCAATCTTCTTCCTTGCATCGGAACCGATGAGTCGAGGCGATATGCTTGGAGAGGTCGACAGCTGTGGAGAAGACATTCGTACAGTTTGGGCACATGTGCTGATGAACGGTAAGATGCGATTCCAGGGCACTCTGTGTAGCAAAGCGTGCATCACAGCCACTGGCCTCACAGGAAAACAGATGTGTCGAGTCCCTGTGCTCAAGCAAGCCTTGGATAGTAGAAAAGAAGCTCTTACACTTGTCACACTTATGTCGGTGATTGATGCGCAAATGTATATTGCGACTTTCTGGATTATAAAAGAGTGCTGAGCATCCTTCATGATCGCATCGGAACAGATGAGCCTTATCTCTGTGTTCGATGAGACTTTCAATCGAAGGAAACGTATCTTGGCATTTATCACAAGCACGCCGGTGGGTTTCTGAGTGAAATACTCGTTTTGCTAATGACTCAAAACTGGCACCGCATCCGTCGTGGTCGCATCGATATTTGTGGACGGAATCTTTATGATCCAGAAGTCCCTGTATTTCAGGAAAGATCGTCTCGCATATGTCGCATCTATGATGATGACTTTTTCGTATGTGTAAACCCAATTCTTCAGTGGTCTTGAGGTATGCACCGCAACCAGAACTTGTACAAAAGAAATGGTGCATGCTATCTTTGTGGGCAACAAGTAGATCGACGGTCGCGAATACTTTGCTGCACAATTTACAAAGGTGTTGATGGACTTTGTGAACATGTAAATCGTGGGCTTCGATGGATGTGAACTTTGCCCCACAAAATAGAGTGTTACATGATGCCACTAGTGGTTCCGACACTTGCGTAGGTGGCAAACCTTCAAAGGCAGACTGAACTATCTGAGCGATAGTCGCTGCTGATGGGACGACTTCCTTTTTGGTCGTGGGATGTTGTTGATGTATGTGCGCGAACATCTGGCCTCTATCATGAAATCGTCGATGGCATGTATAACATTCATGTTGAGGTTGAGGTTGAGTTTGATAGACTACAACTTGGGAGTGACAATCTCTCGTATGCTGATTGATGGATTCCTCAGACGCACAGATTCGGTCACAATATCTGCATTTCCAAGAGTGGTGTTTTCTTTTGTGCTAATTGATGTCTTCTTCGGACGCGCATACTCTATCACAATGTTCGCATTCCCATGAGTGGCTATCTCTCGTATGTTGATTAATGGCTTGCTCAGACGCGCAAACACGATCACAGTATTCGCACTCCCATTCCTCATCCGTGTCATTGAAGAGATCAAAGTGCTCAACAGCCTCATTATGCTGCTCCAGAGCGCGTGCTGAATTGAATCCTCTTGAGCATTCATCGCACCAGTATGGACAGTAGTCATACATCGTACTAGGAACTGACAGTTAGCAGAAGGCCCAGCGATACGTGGCGGAAGGTGAGGAGCAAGGAGAAATGTGGGAATAGATACCTGGTAGTTGAAGACGAGGACCAAGAGGTCAAGGACACGTAGAAAGATGGCGTGAAGTGGCGGGGGAGGAGATGGTCGCGATGCTCTGAGAGGGCGAGGAGTTGAGATAGTAGATCTCTGGTCATTATACCTCTAAGCGAGAAAAAACGTGTAAATTTTAGTCGCTTTATATAAAAGAACATAATTAGTTCCCTTAAGGTTCTTTTATTTACTTGTATAAGTTATATATAAGTTATAGGAATACTAAAAGTATAATCTAACTTATAAGGCTATATCGAGCTTATATTATAGTTAAAACTTTAATAGTTAAGGTATAGATTAAATAGCTTAATATACTATAATCCTATTGTTTCAGAATACGCTTATAATTATTATAGCGGAAGTTATATAATTTAGAAGTTATTACCTCCTTTTCGCTACCTTTAAAGTATAACTTATATACTACTAAGGTACCTAGGTACTTATATAAAAATAGTAAGATTATAGAAACTACTATTATACCTATATTTAGTTAAATTACATATAAAAATAGATATAAATTAAGTATAAATATACTAAGTATCTAAGCTATATTCTAGTATTATTCTAAGATTTGTTATTATAATATTTATAGCGAGCTTATACTAAGAATATAGTCTAGCTTATCTTTATACTAGCCTTTGTTAATATAATTACTTTTATACTAGCTTACGTATAAATATAGGTACTTATAGACTTTTATATATCTAAAAGATGTTATAAAATACTAAGAATAAATAAAAACTTCTTTATATTATTTTCTTTTACTTTTCTTTTATAATATATAGTTTAGATTATTACTTTCTTTCTTTTACTATAAACTATTCTTTCTTTAACTCTTTAAGTTATTTAATAAGAAGTTTCTACCTATCTTAGGTACATTTAATATTTTTTTTTATTCTTTAAGTTACTTAGTTAAAAATTTCTAACTATATTAGGTATATATAAAATATTCTTTGATTATTAGTAAATAAAATAGTATAAGTATTATAGTATTCTCTTTATTTAGTTTTACTTTTTAATAGTATCTTCCTAAAGCCCCTTTTATTATAGCTTTAAATAACTTTACTAGCTCTTTCTTTTCTGGGTAATTCGAGGTACTTAATATTTCTTTAACTAATTATACTAAAAAAGATAGAGGTTCTTTTTAATACTAATTTATACTTACTAGTACTAGTTTAAGTAGTTCTTAAATAACTATATATTATTAATATAAGTTAGGTATATTGTTTCTATGATATAGGAGATAATATTATATACCTATATTCCTAAGGATACTCTAGAGCTAGTTAATAGATAATATCTTTATATTATAGGTATATTAGCTTTCTAGATGGTTAGAACTAAAGATTATAAAGGAGTAATATATTATAATTAACTTATAAAGTAAACCTTATTTAATTTAGAATAAAATAGATATAACTTATATTAATTTATGTTTTTATATAGATATCTTACTACTTTAGATTAAAGAATTAAATAGCTTTCTCTAGCTATTAGTCTTTTAGGCTAGATAGTTACTAATAATAGCTTGTTTATTATTGTGACAGACGTGCTTCAGGTAGATGTGACGGTTATGGTCACGAGGGCTGGATGTCACATGCTCGCTTAGCGAGGCGCTAGCGCGCACGACCTGTATTTAGTTCCCAGCTCTCTCGAGCTCTCCTTCTTTCCTCGTCTTTTGTCCTAAGAATAGAGTGTTAATTGTTCTGAGTTCTACCTGTGACAGACGTGCTTCAGGTAGAACTGCTTCAGGTAGAACTCAGAACAATTAACACTCTATTCTTAGGACAAAAGACGAGGAAAGAAGGAGAGCTCGAGAGAGCTGGGAACTAAATACAGGTCGTGCGCGCTAGCGCCTCGCTAAGCGAGCATGTGACATCCAGCCCTCGTGACCATAACCGTCACAAGTAGCTATAGTATAGCTAAAGAATAGGTATAGGCTAGCTAAATTTAGATTAGTAAGACTAGTCTTTAGGTACTAGTTAGGATCTAGTAGGTATATCTTTTAGTAAAATAGGATTTCCTTATATTCATATAAGTAAACTCCTAGATAAAGTATAGGTAGATAGTTACTTACTAAGAGATAATAGTACGTCACCTCCTTTTATTATATAGGTTATAGATACCCTTCTTACTAAGTATCGGAAATATATTATCTAGATTATAAAAAGTATATTTAAGGTCTTTAACTTATATATATTAGATAAATTAACTCTTATAGAAGAGGAAGATAATAGTATTATGTTTAATGAGAAGATAGATAGTTAAAGTATTGGTAAGAAAAAGATAATTAAGGTATTTAGTTTAAGATCTAATAAGTAGCGCTGTTACTTTACTATATACTAAGTATATACTATTTAATTATACTACCTTCTTTTCTTAGTAGCTCATCTTCCTATAAGTTAAAGCTTTTATAGAGCTATTAAAATTAAGCTAATAAGCGTGAAGGGGGGTAGCTAATAAAGACCATAAAGGAATTTTTATTAAGGCTATTAAACGTAGAATAGGAGGTGTATTAAGTATATTCTAGTATTCACTCCTATATAAAATTAGGTAGCGTACTATGTTATATTATAGATCTATACTATAGATAGCTTCTTTTTTCCTTAGCAGTCTATAATACAATAATAAGCTATATTCGAGTTTTCCTAACGCGTGTAACATCTAACCCTGTAGATCTATTGTGTGGCGCTTGTAATGATCTAATTAACTAACCCTCGACTGTCGGGGTTGCCATAGCACTGGACAAGCTAACCTCAACCCCGGCTCAAATACTCAATTATATATACGAAAGGAGGAACTAGAAGTACTAATAGATTTCCAACATAAATCTTTATTCGAGTATTTACGACTCTACAACTTGGGCAAACGTCTTCTTATTTAGTTATTCACGCTATATTCCTACATACCACCCTTCCTAAATGCCCACACGCTCTCAGAAGCCATGGCCGCTCCATCGAGCGAACAGGAGGTACTGGATGAAGAACCAGTCCTACAAGATCAATGGTACTATCCCCAAGACCTAGAAAACGACCTCCAAGGCATCAACCTACGCGAAGATCAAATCTGTGAAGCAATCAACACGGCATGGGAATATGTTCGCATCGCGATACCAAATTATACCAATTGGAATAGACATATAGCTTTCACACGCCTCATACTGATTGCCGTGGTCGCGGAAATGCGTGGTAATCTGGTAGATGTGGTAGCCAATGACAACATACTAGGCTTCCATCTCGAGGAACTCATCGACACCGTCTTTGCTTGTACACCGGGACATAAAGATATGGCACGCGAATTCCGGTGCTTTCTGCTATTCACAGCGCAGAAGGTAAGCGGCAGGCGCTCATCTGACTTCTTCCGACGATACGTCAACGCCCTTGCACACTCGCTGCAGAACTGGTTTAGGCTGCGTGACTGCGATGCTCTCGCGCGGTTTTCAATCGCTGGAGCCATGGCGTGCAACGATTGGGACGAGTTCTGGTTCGGAGAGGAGAAGTTGCAGATTCTCATGGAAATAGCGGAGACGCATTATGATGCTGTGGCCTTTTACAAGCATCGTGCCGAGGGAGAAATCCATAATACTTTTGGGTATATCGATTCAGGCCTTCGCGTTGCTTCGTTTCATCGAACCCGCGAGGTGCTATGGCGCTTCGAGGTTGCTTGGGCACGTATTCCCAGGTATCAGTGCGTGCTCAACTTGATTCGCAATTTTGGGGGTCCACTTCATATGACTGCCAGACGATATCGATTTGTCGAGGACGGTTTGGCGATTGGAAAACCGGAGACTGAAAATGTGGTGCACAAGACCCGTCAGAATTTCAAGCTATGGAATCGTGTGGACGCTACACATATCTCCGAGTTCTCCCCTCCCAATTTACCAACGCAACTGAAATATCTAAGCGAGAAAATGGTGAATGCTACAACGCTGCCGACCCTATCACAAACCTCCTATTATTCTGGCGTAGTTGCTCAGAGGGACAGGTTGATGTTACATGGACTTCTTGAAATGCTAGAAATGGGCGAGTCTGAGAGATGCAAACATTGTCGTTATCGTCAATCATACGGTGCCGAGGGTCTTGGAGTGTTTGGTGGTGTTGAATTGTGCGGTTCCTGCAAAGAAGTGTGGCGAGAATATATGGAGGATCTTGCAGCTTGCGCAGAGAGTGTGTTTCCAGATCTTTTGACTGTTAAGTCTCGAAAACCTGCTAGTACAGTATCCTGATACGGTATCCTGATTGTAAACCCAGGATGTGAAAGAGACTGATGTATTAGACTTAGAATACTATAGGAGAGTGACAGCTTGTTAAGCTCGACGTATACGTGTGGAAAACACATATCTTCATCAGACGGGGGTATTTGCGCAATGGATGAAAATGAAAAGTTGAACTACCAACTTATGCAAAAGTTTATGGGCGTAAAATCATAAATTGGCTAGGGGACTCTAGATAAGGGTTGGTCATTCTTTGATACTACGAGTATGGTTGAAAATTCTAATGACCTCATATAGTATTTTGTAAAAGATGTGAGGTGGAGAGGGCAAAATTAGAGGTAGGCGTAGTTAGTAATAGGACGTTTGCTGTGGAGTTTGTTCAAGTGTTGGCTGTGATCTGTTAGGAGCAGACGAGACTATAAAAACTCTGAAAATAGTCTAAGATGTTCAGAGAAGTATCTCGCCTGGAACAAGAGACGTGAATTTCTGGGGAAGAAGTTAATGGGTCTAGAAGTGAATACAGGTAAAGCACAAAAGCGAAAATCATGAGTGAAAATTACAGGTAGGGAGTAATGGTGAATAGATGAACAATAGAGAAAAAGTACGCAAATAACTTGGTCCGAGAGTAAAACCTTGCATGTTTGTAATCGATTCGGATTTCTTCGCGCTGTTGGACCAAAGGTCAAGGGAAACGATAGATGGCTAATCGGAGGCAAATGGACAGGCGTATTGCGCGAAATCAACTGATGGACTTGGAAAGGCGCAGACTCCCCCACATCCGCACGTTGTCCTTCCGCCCGACAAAGATCCCCCTGTTCGTTGTATTTGCATCTATCTCTTTGCAAAAGTAATGAAGTCATGACGGTTCTTGAAGAATAAAAAGTGGAATCCGTAAATATTGGATTTCAAGATAGTGAGGAAGAGGTAGACATGGTCCTTTCCTGATCCTTGGTATGCTACCATTTAAAATATCAAACTTTGCGTTGTAGCTGGCAGTTGAGAAGGTTATATGTCCCTCATTTCTTTCCTGGGAGAAAAAGGAATCTCCATCTACCCATCTGCTTCCGGGTTTCAAAGTGCTACAGCATGTACTATTAATTCTATAAACCTCCTATGTGGCGCCAGTTGACGGCGATTGGTGCTGGCCGATCAGATTGTGCAGTTCAAACTGATCTTGCGATTTTATAGATTCCGCTGCCCGTACCGCGGTCTACTTATAAATAAATTGTAGTGATGGAATGATCTTTAAATAATATTAGAAGAAAGCGACGAGATCAGGTCCTTATTCCCGTACTATGGTTTGAGATGAGAGATGATATATGGAACTTGCAGTTTGGATAATGGCTGTACCTGATATGGGGGAATTGGGCATGCTGGTAGTCAATATGAAGCTGATGGTAGATGAAGAAGATGGTAGATGAAGAAGATGCTGGGATGGTGAGATGATTAGAGAGTGGAGAATGAGAGAGCTCCATTTGGGGCATTGAGGAGACGGGACTTTGAATAGACTCCGTGTATCATCAGACATGTTCAAACTTCCAGTGGGATTACAGTTCGTTTAGTACCCTAGATATAAAATACACCAAGAAGGCTTGACTGCAGGGCATATGAATAGATCCAAGCCTCTGGGGGGCGAAAATGATTACGTAGGATGGCGCGGATAGCGTGCCGCAGACCAACGGGTGGTCACAACGGAGGATGCTATTTGAGGCTTCAGGTTCAATGGTCGGTAGAACATAGCTCTTGGGTCGAGATTTAGCGCCCTGTTTGAAATAGATTTATAATTATTTGCAAACGAAGATAAGGAATCGACAGGAAGAATATTTTTGACGGTAAATGTCCGCTTGAATAGGTTGAGTTCAGATCCATGGATGAAGACTTGGAGGAGACAGTGAAGGTTTAAGGTAATGTAAGTGTAGCCTTTGTAACCCTTGCAGGTGCATTGAGTGCTCTGTGGTAGTCACCACAACTTGAGCGAACAATATTCTCGCTGTGTCGCTATACGTCGGTAGATGGTTTTCTCATCCTCTCGTTCTGCTCGACTTTTATAGTCGTCCCTTAATTTCCAGTATAGTAAATGATCTATTTTCAGGCATCAAGAAGTTCGATTTCCGCCTTCAAGAAATGTTGTATCTGCTAAAGTTACCATGATAACAGATGCTTATCCACTTCTCTGTACTCGGACTACAAGTATAAATCTGAAGTCCAAGGATCCGATACCAATTTCAAAGCCGCCACATGGATTCACCACCTGTAACGCCTCAAGCAGCTTAAACTATATTCCGTTGTCATGGTGGGATATCCTTTACAGCCTGATTGTCTGCCCCAGACCTTTCCCCAATGACTCTTCACTGTGCGATCAAATACGATACTCAGTCCAACTTATTCCAAGACTTATATTATTGCAAAATCCCTCAATTTCTCTTTAAACACCTATTCGGGTTATATTCAACTGCTTATATGGAAGACAAGAGACCAGCTTAAGGCTCAACAAGTCTAGTTTGTTGCAGGGTTATCTTTAGCAAGTATTACAAATAAATAAGACGGCATATACAGCATTACTATCTTGAATGAGACTGGTGGAAATTCTACTTTTATTCAAGAGAAATAGCCGCAACACATGACTTAAACGTGACCAAAGTGTGTCTCTATTTTTCATAACAGCGAAGTGGACTCTAAAAACGTTCCAAGAAATGACAAGAAGGCAAGTACTAATATCTTGAGAAGAAACTTGATCATTATGAAAGTATCCAAAAAAAAAACAATGAATTCCAGATGTGCGAAAGCATTCGATTCTCAAATTCATTTCTGTATAAACAATATCATGACTGTGCTTGTCAACGTCTCCTCCTCTCCCTCAACCTGAACAACTTAAGACGCAATCTTCTTAAAGTGGAGATACTCATACAAGAACCGACCCATTGGGCTCGCACATAACGTCACTGGCCAACCTTGGTCTTTGGCTCTAGCGATACCCCAATTTACTCACATAGTACCACCTCCACGCAAACGAAAATCTGGGTGAACCACCAGGGAAGACAGATTCACTTGTTCCTCGGCCCACGCCGCAAAATAGGTTTTGAAGCGTTGTCCTGGCTTTCCGAAAAATGCTTCACAGTGTAACTTGTCTGCGTCCTTCCTGTGCTTTTCGGCTGGATCTACTATAGTAGATAAGCTAAATGAATGGTTGAAGCATTGGAAAAGTAAGAGTGTACCCTTTTCATGTGCCTTCGTCAATACGGCAATGTTCCGTACAGCGAGACCAACAACAGTCTTGCTGACAACATGGCCATCAATTTTGTTTTGACCTTCAAGCACATGGACTACGTATTTGAGCGGTTGTTCCAAATAGCTCTCATACTCTTTTCTGATCCATTTCCAATGGTCTTCTGGGTACTCTTGTCGAAAAGGATAACAATAGTGGACTTGGGGCTCCTCAGTAAAGCCCTCAATGTGAAACCGAGTTATGTCATCTAGATCATCGTTCGAGGCTGTTCGTAGCGTGAAACAAGGGTCTGGAAAGTTTAGATCGGTCATTGTTAAGGTATAGCAATTTCCAAGCGTCAAATCTGACCAGGAAGAATAAGTAAGGATTGAGCTGTTCGCTGCGTTTTCGCGCGGAAATGTCGCCTTCTATGTGGAATGGATTATCGGTGGGTCTAGAAGTGGTTGTATTAAATAGATAGCTAGCTGGTAGTTCTGATCTTGCAAACAGCCCGTTTGTACGCTAGTTCATATTAGGTGCCTTCAGAAATTCACGCAGCATCTGATTCAAAAATTAAGACTCGCTGACCTCCAATCTTGGACGCACGTCTTAAATTCTCCGTTTTGGTTGCATAATTGTGCATGCCAACTGCTCTCTCTCCGGCTTGTCGCACCTCCTGGAAATTGCTTGTATAAAAATAGCAATACAGTAGCAGGTCCTTGCCCACGATTGATGCATCTGGCTTAATAGAATTCACTAGTGGGCTCCAAACTCCAGTACTCTACGACAATGAGTACAACCAACAAGTGTAATTTGCTGATTCCATACTGTCGGGAATTGATACGGATAAGCACGGTTCAACTATCCTTGGGGGTATACTGTGATACTTGCGTCGAACGTAAGACTTGGTTGCCGCAAAGTAGTATAATTGCTTCGACGTGATCCCCCAAAGCTCCGTCTGAAGCACAGAATCTTTGGAAAAAGTTTGCAGACGACGACACTGAATTGGCTAACTCCGTCATCGTTTCACAACATTGCGTTTACAAACGGTTATGTTTAACTTGCGGGAAAGATATACTTGGAGTGCCTCCAACAAAAGAAAGCCCGGGTTTCTGTCACCGCGGTTGGTTCTTCCACTCAGTACTGATTACGTCAGTGATGGATACACGGCTCGACGAAATCGCAATTGAACATGTTTTGGGTCCTTTAAAGACGAGTCTTTCCCGTCTATTAAAAGCACGTGTTCTCTCCAAAAGTAATGAAGACCGGTATACGATATGTCTTGCTTGCTTCGTAGTTTCATATAATTCGGAGAGTATCAATTACACATATCTCTGACTTCTGCCGAAGGTTTAGCGTTGGTGTATGTGTTGGAAATGCTTGGTCCACTCCCGCTGCTATCGAGTTGCCTTGATACTGTAGCATGCTCCAAGATCAAATGATGAAACTTCATTTTCCCATGGCTATTATCATGGTTGCGAAATTGTGATCGCTTATTTTCATTTTGCATTATGTGCTCGGTTCGACGTACTCCGCGCTACTCAAGCTCAGAGTCACTCGAGTACTTGGCGTGTTGAGTTGAGTAGGTCTAAAAATTACTTTGTACTCGTAGTAGCTGTCACTACTTAACTCAACTCAACTCATTTCGAACGCTGGAAAAAAATAACTAAACAAACTACAGTCGAATTCGATATAAGCTTCATTCCGTCGATTTGCCGATTTGTTGAAATCTGTGCTTTTTTACCCCTTTCAAGAATAAACTCTTAGGTCTTTTATACTTTACTAGACAACTATATATACCCTAGTACTCTAAATAGTACTAAATAAAAGCCCTATCTCTTCTCTATCTCTAGATAAACATTTTATACTAAAGACAGACGTTTTAAATTCTATTCCTCTTTTTCTAGGGTCTTAACTATTTACCTTAGAATTAAGGCGAAAAAGGAGAGGACAGATTGTTTCTACTAGACTTTTATTCCCTAGATTACTCTTATATTATTTAAAGAATAGCTATAAAAGCTAGGAATATAGAATACGTTTATATAGCGGTTCTTTCTAGCTAGGCTACGTTACCTTTAGAGTAGTTTCGTATATTACTCTCTAAAGAACGTAAGGTAAAAAATTAGAGTACACTAAAGTACACGGGTTTCAAAAATATCGGCAAATCGACGGTATGAAGCTTATATCGAATTCGACTGTATCGTAGGTCTTTAAAGTATTCGTTAATTTCAATCTAAATTAGCAATTTCCTCTTATGCCAATTGGTCTACTTATGTCGAGCCTTTTCTATCAGTTTTACCGTGCGGCCAGACTTCCTAGGTGTGAGTTGATCTATGCGAGGTTACTCTAGTGGGTGGATTATCGTTCTGTCAGTACGATGATTCTAGGGCTTAGTCAGGTAGATTTCGTGTCTGGCTCGCTTACCAACCAAAAGACAACAGGTTATACCGGTCAGAGTAATTGACGCTATCGTTCGGGTTGGGTTGGTTTCCTGTGAGGACCGTTTACACAACTAAAATAGGATGTGTTTTGCGTATTGAGGGGGACTGAGCAAGCTTACATATGTCGTTTGATCCAGTAGATCACTTGTCCACAACCACAACCTATAATGAATAGGTTCTGTACGCTTGGTAATAAGCGTTCTTTTCTTAACTCTCCGCCATCATGAAACATACCACCAGAAATAGGGAGTTAGATAAGCCTAATTTGAGCGCTTGACAGCCTGGGCTCCACTCGTTAGGGTGCGAATAGCGTTACAAGTCCCCCAGGGACTTTTTAACCCAAGTGTGAGAGGCCAGACCTCGAATAGCTTAAAGGTGTGGTTTCGAATATTCAATTAAGAAGTGCGTGAAGACTACATACATGCGAGCTCTTCCTCTATATATAGAGAGGAAGAGCTTCCTGAATATTCCAAGAAACTTGCAAGAAACTTGAATGACGAATACATGATGTCAGAAGAACAAAACAAGAAAGTGTGGAAAAGTAGAAACCTGTTTGGCAGTGGGGTAATAGCCAGTGCTAAGAAGGGACTTCGGTCAGTGCTTAGCGAGGGCATGGCCCGAGCCTCCATCATGGGTTCCAACCCTCACACCAAGTAATATATCCATACTCACATGTGAACCTAGGATACTCTGTAAGCAAAGTTTGAAGGTTTGATTTCAGCTTTGACAATGAATGGTGGCTCTTGCCAATGTTCGGCAACTGGAATTTCGTTCTGTTTTAGAGCCCTCGTCTGAAAGTATTCTATTCTACTTTAAGATTTGGTTGAATTGTTCTATTACAGTGGCATATATTGTATAGAATACAATGAATTTCCATTTAGAACGTCTCATAACCAGGATCTGTCCTAGCCTTGGTAGGTTAGTAATTACAAGTGCCTTTGTATATAGAGACTGGGTAGAAATTACCTAGGAGTGCTAATAATATATACATATGTAGAGAGTCCCAGTAATATCACGTAAATGGCCTCTATCCACTCTCCGTATGGAGGTACCTAAATACGGCTACCTATTCACTTAAATATATATTAGTGTGAGGGTTGGAACCCATGATGGAGGCTCGGGCCATGCCCTCGCTAAGCACTGACCAAAGTCCCCGCTCAGCATTGGCCATTGCTTTACTGCTAAATTTGTTTCTCCTTTTCTACACTTTTCTACTCTATTCTTTTGACGTCACGTATTTGTCAAACAGTTTCTTGGAAGACTCCAGAAACCCTTCCTCTCTCTATGTATAGAGGAAGAGATTGCATGTATGTAGTCTTCACGCACTTCTTAATTGAATATTCGAAACCACACCTTTGAGCTATTCGAGGTCTGGCCTCTCACAATTAGTATTCACTATAAGTGGAATTCCGGAGACTAATCAATAGGATGGATTAGTTCCACTATGAAGGTGCTCTGGAAGGATCCTATGTAGAGTGGAATGGAATAATTCCATTGAATATAGCTCCATGTGCCGGACGTTGGCTTTCACACTTAATAAGCCCCGCGTGAAGTGAATAGGGGTATTTTTGTAGTTACTTAAGCAGTTCTTCCGCGACGAGTCCTCTCCTTCTCTCCTTGCGGCTAATCTGATTAATATTCCACCCTAATTCAAACTGCTTAAATACTATCCGTCCAGTATACGAAACCTATCTAAGTAATTAGGTAAATTACTTAAACTAGTATAACCTTAACGCTATAATAGTATCCTATTAAGCGAACTATTATATAGTAACATCTATTTAACTTAACTTATACTAAGTACTTGGCGCTAAGTAAGCTAGCCTAAGCCCCTATAGCTAGGTATTATATTAATTCTATCGTTTTAGTTTAGTAAGCCCCCTTTTATAACCATATTATCTATTTAATAAGTACTAAGTTAGTAAGTTAAGTATTTAGTTTAATATTTTTTTATATCGTTATAAAACAATTCATTGTTATTCTATTATACTAGATGTTCTACTGAAGTTAGTTTTTAGTACTGAATTAAGCGTTTTATACTTTAGTTTAGAAGAATAATACTTTCTTAACGTTTCAAGAGCTATTCGTATTGTTTCTATTGTACGAGAGCTTTTAGATAATATTAACATTTGAAAACTATCTAAATAACAAGACACTCAAATGTCCTACTTAGTAATACTACCTTACGTTCAACTTTGACGCCAAAGTGAATGAGAATGTCTTAAGCGAGAAATTCACTACCATCTTCAAAGCAGCACGTCACAACCCATGTTATTATTGATACTACTGGCTACTTTACTAACTCGTGATCATGCTATCGGACCGACCAGGTCACTAGCGCGTCCAAACAATCGGTTGTAGTTTCGCGTCTTCTATAAAATTTTATTTCCACAACACCACCACTATCCGACCCTACCACCACCACCAACCACTAACCACCAACCACCAACCACCAACATGTCATTCTCTCGCTATCTTTCAGTTCTCAATGATATCCAAGAACGATCTCTGCGTCTTGGTCTGTCCCAGGCTGACTTTGCACAATTATTTGACCATTTCCATGCTGTCGCGCTCCAAACCCCTAACCTCAGCGACGATGGGGTCAAACTCGCAACAGAGGACCTCATTTCAAGACACCTTTGTACGCAACTCTCACTGAAACCTTTCACAGCTGTTCTATGCTGATACATGATTTCTGTAGGGCCAAATGAGGTTTTTTCTGGAATATATGAGACCTTCCCACCTGCTCCGATCAGCGCGATTCCACCAAACGTAGTTCTCTTTAATCGCCAGCCACGATTCGCCGTAGCTCCTCTTCTTGGTTATGACGCTGCTCCCCAGTATGGAATAGACTCTCTCGGACTTCCTTATTGGTCTCAGATTCTGCCTTTGCCTGGTCTACAACACTTTGAAAGAGAGATGGGTTGCGCGGTTGCGGAATTGGAGGAAGTGTTTGCAGTTAAGATTTGCATTCACAAGGCAAACAATCGTATTATCATTTGGCCTGAGCATGCACCAGTTCGTAGAGATTTGCACGCTCGTGAATACGGCAAGATGGATTGGTTCTACAAATTCATTTACCATTTTGGCTGCGAGGTGCGTGGTTTGAATAATTTCTGGACTATGTCGGACGCTCTCAACAGCACTGCGCCTTCAGTTAGCTACCTCACAAAGTTCTTTGAGCAAGAGAGCAAGGGAGAGTTAGACTGGGCTACCCCAGATCCTCCTCGCTACAATTACCGTAAGTCCCTCTTTCCGAGTATACATCACCATCTTTGCTTTGACACAATAATATCCCCTACAACTGACCTCAATTCCACTTAACTATTTAATACTGATCTATTTCTATTCCAGACCCTTTCCTTGCACAGACTTCTCAACATATTCGCGATACTCAAGTATACCGCTCCCAGTTCAGAAAGAACGATAACGAGACGATATATAATGGCAATACTGGGCATACGCGTGATTTGCCAAACAGCCGACGCACCCATGTTTTTGGTACCATACCCCCTGTGTTTGGAGATGCTTCCGCCGGTGTTGCAAATGAGGAACTGTAATAAGCTGTATCAGTTGATCTACATTGGGTCTTTTGTTCTCATATCTTCTCTTCATCTGCTTGGACGGGGAGGCTATTTGTGGTTGAGGCATATTTTTTGTACGAGAAGACTATGAGCAAAAGGAGCCTATACTGGCGTGGGTTGTTTCTGCTTCGGAGGATACGATGTACAGTACGCTGCAGACGAAAAACGCGATATATGGAATGCTTGGGAAGCAGTAGATAAGGCTCACTGGGCACTTTGAATCGTCATTGATATGTCCTGGACTTGGCTTTTACGTTCAAAATGAATAAGATCTTTTTGTCATAGTCTTGGTTATCCATCCGTGTAGCTTGACTTCCACTGAAAACAAAACATCGCCTGTAATCGGAGAATCATCATCAGGCTCCTCAAGGTCGATCCACTCATGTTCTCGAATCTCTTTATCTGCCAAAGGTTGACCTGCTTTATCACGAGGAGAGCAAAGCACGTTTCTCGTGACTATCACCGAGATGCAACTCTCAGGGTTGCGCTTAATATGTGGTACAGAGGGTCCCAGTAGAGATACGTGTCTGAAATTGCTATATCGTGTACATTGGGCCAAGTCCAGCAGCCCATCTCAAATATAACTTTACGCCTCTGCTCGCTGGGTCGCAAAGGGTCTTCCATAACGATTGACACAAGACCTATCCGGGTTTTGTAGAATATCAGCAACGCAAAGTATAGAACTAAAATATTTGGGATCGAAGGTTTGTTGGGCTAGTAGAAGATCGAATACCAATAGCATTCGAACAATAAAAAGTCCACCCCCTCCCCCCCCTCTCCAGATTTTCTCCACAAAACTTGTAACCTCTCCTCCGTACGCGGTCTTTTTTGGCAGCTTCTGGTGACTTTGTACACACATTTCTAAGCCCAGTGAATAAATCAAGAATCGGAACAGAGCCTTACAGGTTCCTTTGGCGGTATTGGAGAAATGAGATGATATGAATTTCACAGTACACTTGATGGGTTAAGCGAGGATTGAGTGGTAAGACAATGTAAGAGACCTCGTCAATACATACTGTACAGATTATTAAAGAACACTATACTAAACGTCTAACACACCGAGAGTTCTTTTCTTGGTATCCCTAGGTTGATAAAATGTGGAAAGTAATCATTCTATTCAAGTTTTTATGTAAGTGTTTTAGTTGTACGGGGCTTTCAGGGCAAAACGTTATTATCAACTAGGTGTATACGTAGTAATGACGACTTCATTTGTAGAAGAATAATCCGATCTCAAATTATAGCTTAAAAATCTCTATGCAGCAAAAATCCACCGTATTTTCTTTCTTCCTCGCGGTATTCTTATCTACAAAAACCATAAAGAATCCTTCTGACCCTCCCTTCTCACCATGACCCAGGAGTCGTCTTCGTTATCATTCTCCTTCAGACGTCGGGTAGGCCCCATTTTCTTGTCATTTTCTCCATTACCGGGCTCGGGATACTTTTTCAAGTTTTCAAGAGCCCATTTCATCTCTTTCGAAAATATTGGCGGCACCATGCCTTCCCCCGTCAACAACCCCAGTCCCGCGACTTCATACAAATGACCCAACCAATCCAACGTCTCATTATGGTCCCATCCAATGTCATGATATTTCTGTGCCCTCCTTCGTGGTCCTCTTTTCCCTATCCTTTTCCCATTTTTCTTGTTCTTCCACTGGTGGCAAATTCACGGATTGCCGCCCTGAGAAGAGTCGTGCAAGCGCGATAGCTTGATACTCGAAACTTCTGAAAGTGAGTGTTCGTGGTATCCCAACTATGGCAAGGGTTTCAAAATCCTGGGAGAAGGTATACAAATAATTTTTGATCAGCTTGTTTTTCTTGTAATCCCAGAGATCTCGACCGTTGTTACGCGAGTTCCAAAATGGGAAGGATGCTTTGTAGCCAGTACAATAGATGATAGTATCGATGTCGTCCAGGTAACTGTCATCTTCGAATACGATCCTTCCTGATGGCAAGTATTCTCTGATCACTGGTTTCCATGCGATGCCAGGTGGGGGCTCGGGTCCATCCCATCGCGACTTTGATCGTCTAGACTGAAATACTGGAAGTTTTGCGGTTGAGACCAATTCGGCAGTTACATCATGTCCCGAGGCAGAGTTGCCTATGACCAGGATTCTCTTGTTTTCATATAAAACGGGGGTCCGATAGATTTTCGAATGGAAAACTGTATCTGGAAATAGCTTCAAGTATTGATCGAGACCTTTTACTTCAGGTATCTTCGCATTGTCAGGAACTTGGAGGAAAGTCACGTGAGGTGGGATTACTGACGATTATTGTTATTATTATTATTATTCCTTTTAACGTGCTGTGTGAGTCTGAGACTAAAGTAGCACGGCTGGGGGTTTCCCTCCAACAGATGAGTAAAGCTGTACTAAATACATGTTTGAGAAGGGGGTTATGGTCATTACAGTTCTTGGGTTGTTGGAAGCAGCTAGGCTTCTGGTTATGACAAAAGAAAAGTTGTTATGTTGTAGTACGCCCCCTCGTTTCACGCCCTGTACGCTACACTTCCTCGTTCTCGTCTTCCTCGTCCTCGTCTTCCTCGTCCTCATCTTCGTTCTCATCCTCAGTTGCGCGTTGTGTGTGCCATATTCTAGTGGCGATTTTGGTGGTTCGAATAAAGTCAAGTGTGGCCTCGACTCCTTTGGCGGTGTGAAGGAGGGATTTCATGGTGAACTCTCGAATATGATGCTTGAGGAGGTTGCGCTTTAGTACTTTCCTAGCATCCCCAGTTTCTGGACAGCTAAGAAGGAGGTGAGTGGGAGTCTCTTGTCTTCCACATCTACAGCGGTTGTTGGTAGTGTGGCCGAGCTTGTGTAGGTATGATTTGAAGTATCCATGGCCTAGCTTAAGCTGATAAAAGGCGCTGGCTATCTCTCTTTTTGTTCCTTGGGGGACGCAAGGTTTCGACAGAATCTTCCATGGGAATTCCCTTCGATACGAGTGTTGGTTAGTTGATGGTTCTGTGTGCCCGGGGGGTGTAGTAAGCTTTTGACGCCATTCTTTGTTCTGGGTCTGCCTGATCTTGACTCCTAGCATAGCAAAGCTAGTGAGTTGAGTGGATGGTTGGATTGTGGTGGCGGCTTTTGCAAGCTTGTCTGCTTTCTCATTTCCTGGAATGTCGGTGTGAACTGGTACCCAGTGAATTGTGGTAGTAGCTCCCTTGCTAACTGCCTTCCGGGCAGCTGTGATAGCTCTGATTTGGCACTCTTGCCCTGGGTTATCTGATGTGGTTTTTAGCCTCCGTAAACCTGCCTGGTTGTCGGAGTAGATGTGGAAATGGATCCCTGGTCTAGCGTGCTTGGCAGCGTATTCAACTGCTAGCGTGGCCCCTTCAACTTCACCGTTGTAGACGAGCTTGTTTGGTCCAATGTTGACTTTCTTTTCGTAGTGGATTCTGTTTGATTGAGGTGAGATTGCAGACAAACCTACCCCAATTCCTTGGCTATTTTCTGTTGTTGTAGAGGATGCATCTGTGTAGATGAAAATGCTGTTATCTGAGTTGTTTTGGAGTAGACGAAGGTGAAGTTTAGTTTCCTCTTCTTTTGAAAGTTTGCTAATGTGAACCTTGTAAGGAGTTTCTCTTTCCCATGGAGGGAAGTGGAAGTGGTGTATTTGCTCAAGGTCTTCAAGGTTGTATAAGTTGCTAATAGAGCGGTGGATTCGCTGTAGTTGAGGAGTTGCCGGCTTCTGTTTCCTTGGAGTTGCTTGAGTATTGAGGAGCGTGTCGATAGCGTGGTTCACTGGGTGTGATGGTGAGAGTTTGAGTAGACGGAAAGCATACATCCTCAAGGAGGAGGAGAGGCGAACTTCAGGAGGTGG